GGGGGGGGGGGGGGGGGGGGGGGGGGGGGGGCGTACAATGAAAGACATGTCCTCTTCCGAGGAACACCCGAACACAACCACGAACATCTGAACAGGGCTAGGATTAGGAGACATGTGGTGGGCTGGACCGGGGCAAGGGATTCGCGGAAACGAGCTTTGACTATTAAATTAAAGCCCTCACGCAGCTGCAGCAGCGAAGCCACGCCGCAAAATTCGAACAGCCAACAACCCAAACAACCACCCGGACGGTTTTGCGTTTGTTTGTGGGTTTCGTGTACAGTGGTGGTCCCGATATACCGTACCGCGGTCCCGAGTAGTTTCGCGCCCCGATACCCCGCGGAAATAATAGCTTGTCACGGGATTTGGCTACCATAGTGTATATTCCCCAACACTCAATAAGTAGTGCGGTGTCCCGATTACCGTACCGCGGTTGTTATTGACATCGGGACTTCCACTATACCCGTACCGTGCTACGCACCGCGGTTGTTCTTGACTACACCGCGGTACATCGGGACCACTACTATACCCGTACCGTACCTGAAGCTGGTGCATGGGGTTCTTCCCCCGGAAGAAGGGCTTCCTGCCGAGCAGCTCCGCGAAGATGCATCCTACGCTCCACATGTCCACCGCCGTGTCGTACGTGCTAGAGTAGCACAGCAGCTCAGGGGCGCGGTACCATCGAGTCTGGACGTACCTGTGGGTCATCATTGTGGATGGTCAACATGGAGAATGGTCATCTTGCGTGGATGGTCAGTATCGTGGACGGTCAGTATCGTGGATGGTCAACATGGAGGATGGTCATATTGCGTGGATGGTCAGTATCGTGGACGGTCAGTATCGTGGATGGTCAACATGGAGGATGGTCAGCATCGTGGATGGTCAGTATCGTGGATGATCATCATCGCAAAAGCACGAAAGACAAGACGTGCACAAAAACCACCGTCATGTCACACAAAACTCGGCAACAACACCGTTTTTGTTAGTGACAGGGAGCGCGAGGCGGCTGGAGCGATGTCGGAGGGGAGGACAAAAAAGAAATGCCAAACATATCTGTGTACTCTTTCTGAATACGAGCTGAAATTCCACTTACTCGGTTAGCGTCTCGCCCCCTTCTTGCTCGACCCCCCGGGATAACCCGAAGTCGCAGATGGCCAGGTCGCAGTTGGCGTTCAAGACGAGGTTGGACGGTTTCAAGTCCCTGTGTAGAACGTTCGCGCTGTGGATGTACTTCAAGCCTCTCAGCAACTGCCACATATTGTTGTTAGGGGAGGGGGGGGGGGGGGGTAGCCTTGAGACGTATTTAGTCGATGAGACGTACACCAGTCGGCACGGAGTAACAGGTTCTTAGCCTTCCAATCGCTTCTATCCACATTGGTTGTGCTTCCATGCCGTACCAACCACCATGGTGTGGGGAGAGGGGGGAGTTTGTGTGCGGAGGGGAAGGGATGCGAAAACAGCAGCTCAACAGCTCGGATTCATTCGAACCGTTGAGGGGGGGGGGGGGGGGGGGGGCACCACCCGCACGGTGCCGTGCCCGACTAATGTTGTAGAAATCGGCATATTTCTGCCTGCAACGTGCTTTAGGGGGGGGGGATACCAAGGAACGTTCGATGTT